TATACATATATATATATTTAAGACAGATTAAGTCAAATTTGTGTCTGCAAATGCCCTTCAGTTTGGGCCCATCCTCTGGAACCTGTTTAATCTGCCCAGCATCACAGCCTTAAAGAGAACTGATTCTTCTCTCTCTCCCAGAAGCTATCCGTTGCCAGTGGTTCTGTAGCTAGGGTTGGGGCTTCTTACCCACCTCCTCAGTTCTATGCTCGAATTTCTTCGGCTAGAGTTTACGTGATGGAAGACCATAAGGAAACGTTTTTGTTCCAGGCAGCTGGGTGGATATTATATGATATGATATTGCCATTTTTTTAACTTAAGATTAAAGGAATTTACTTAGCATGTGACCTACACATAATCAATTTGTGACGAATTTTATTTGCCTCTAAAATTGTAAGTTTTAAATTCTGTTGTTCTTGTGCAAGCTTATCAAGACAAAGGAATATGAAAACTACTAGCTCATGCTTTTCAGACTTATTATAATCTGCTGCTCTCCCTTAAGATGATGATTGCAGCTGCATCTTTTTATAGCAGACATAAGGAGATTTAAATATCGAAGTTGCTGGCAGTGGTGGAATCATCTCTACTAATCTCTTATATGTTTTTGTGTATATATACTAATGTAGATCACCTGTGCAATCTATGTCTATTAACATTTATACCATAATATTAATTGTTCTATTTTTGCAGTGATATATTTAGCTATTAAACAGATAGTCAAAGATGGATAATTTTACTTATCTGTTCTTTTACATTATCTCTCAGCCTGTAGGTGATATTCTCCCTCACACAAATAACTGAAGCATGGGGGTGATTATTTCATTTGTCACAGTCATTGCAGCTTTATTTCCTTTCAATTTACATTCGTTATACTGTTCTAAACCTATACTTTTGTTTCCATGATTTTTAGCTTAAAAGCCTTTATTTAAAGTTGCAAGAGCAATTTCTTTGTAAGGCTTATTGTGTCTCAGTGGATGGTGGGGCCAGACCAAGTACCCCACAGCCTTTTCAGGAATGTGCAAAACATGTCAGTACTGTGGATTTCTACAAATCTGTTGTAGTCAGTCTAATTACTGTGTAGTTTGCTCATGATGTCTCCATGCTACATCAAATCATATTCCATTAGAGTAAGAAGAACATGCTTGAAGGGTGATTGCCATGTTGATGATCTAAAAGATAAATTTGTTATGACCTTGAAGAATGAAAACATTTTGAGTCTTATTTCTGCATAACTTAGTTCATATTTCCTTCAGTTTATTTTGTGTTTATTAGTTGGTTAATATGGTGAATAATTATCACACTTGAAATCTTTGCTATCACATGAGAACAGTTTTCTCTTACAGCACAATAGAAATACTATGTATAATATACTGAGTCTTAGGTACATTCCCACCCTACTAAAAAAATCTTTAAGGCTAGCTCCAGTTGCGCATTCACCTTCTCTTTCATATGCAAATTATTTCTTGTAGCGTTTGCATTACATATTCATTTATTTACCTGAAATTTACTCTTTAACTGAAGATGGATTTCCTGAAAATCTTGCAATTTTTTATATGTTTGAAATCACATATTTAAGACAAGGTTATCCCTGCATTCCTTGCAAACTATGTTTCCATTAAGTTCTGAGGAAATAATTTCTTGGGTAAACAAGATACTTGGAAGACATAAAAGAAAATGATGTATTCACATCATTTTTATTTCTTGGATGTTAATAAAATTGAGTGACTCCATTTCTACTTTTTGAGTTTACCCCCAAAGAAACTATTTGTTTTCCTTTGAAATTTAGTGCTTAGTGTTAGATATCAAATATAGACATAACAAAGAAAGGGCTCACAAATTGTTTTCATATGACCTTCTGTTTTTTGTTCAGATAGTTCACAGAAATCTTTGCTATGAAATTACTCTCTCAGCAGCACTGTAATAAATTTACTCATTTTCCTCATTAAGATGCATTAAGCATAAATATATGTGTGTTTCTTTTGTTGTTGTTGTTCTAGCAATGGTTGTTTTGAGCAGCCTGGAACCAAATACAACCTACGAAATCAGGGTTGCAGCAGTAAACGGAAAAGGTCAAGGAGACTACAGTAAAATAGAAATATTTCAGACATTGCCTGTTCGTAAGTAATCATCTCTACTTTGCTAACTGTTGAGAATTTCTTCCCTTGCAAATTTAATAGAATTTTTGAATGCAGAGAGACATTTCAACACTTTGTGGAAAGTGAATTATCTCTCTGTTAAAGTGGTTTCTGAAGATGATGGCATCTCAGATTTATAAAAATAGCTACACTTCATAGCTAGGCAAAAACGTGTAGTGGGATATACATAGTAAAATATGCTCTCTGGAAATCTTTCTTATTAATAGTGTGATTAGTTAGGGTTACTCTGCACACTATATTCACTAAGCCAGTAGAAAAATATTTATGTGGCATGTCCAATCTTTGGTTCTGTGATGAGGCATGGCTATTGCCTTTATTCCACAAGTTATGTAGGCACTAAGTGTAAGAAACACGAAACTTTAAATTAATGTTGCAGTATGACTACAAGAGGGAATGATTCAGCTGTTGCCTTTTTTTCTCAACTCTATCACCTTTTTTAAAATTAAAATATTATTTTATTTTTTTATTTTATTTGTTTAATTTTTTTTAAAATTTAATAACCACATGATTAGAAGAAGCACTTCATTACAGCTTTAGCATATTCAGTAACACATTCCAGGGCAAGGATACATCTATTTCAAAGGTGGCTGTAAATTTTTAGGTTCACAGTTGAATTAATACTGTCATACAATATTGAACTCCGTATAAAGCTGTAAGACATAAAACTGAATGAGTTTTACCCTTTAAAGAAGATCTCCATTTCATTTTAAGATATGCTGTTTCCTACATTTTTAATGCTACTAACACATGTTTGCACATGAGTCTTTACTCTATATGTATCTGATTATTTCTAGTCACAGTAGGTTACACTCAGATCCTTAGTACCTGAGTATGGATATAAAGTCATCAGGTAGATTTCACTGTTAATAAAACTATCATCTTTTGAAGTATTGTAAATTAATTTGATTTATGTACAGTTATGAAAATTTTTAGTAGACTTACATGATCTTTGTGTTAATTTAGTCATTTTATGACTTTGAGGCAACTTAATGGGAAGGACAGAACAGTACTTTTGCAAAAACTGGCCATGCGTCTGCTTGCTGTACATGCATATTGGGACAGCCAAATTGATAAAAATAAATTATTTTTCTTTAAGTTTGGGCAATAATTTTCTCTTAGTTCTCTAAATCCATCAGATGATGTCTGTTTTTCCCATTCCTGGTACTGACATCTTTCCCATCCCTCTTTAGTTTTTCATGAGGATGACTCTAGGCAGGCACATGTCAGCTCTTAATTGGACCTCCATGACACTCTTCTGAATCTATCTGTCCCTTTTTTGCTTACAGTTCTCAAGGACACACACCATCCTTCACTTCCCACCTTCAATCTAGGCACCCCTTTGCAGGTTTCCTCCTCTCTAAAATGCCATACTCCTTACCTCAGATGGCTAATGATGGGGTAGTGGGGATGAAGCTATTTCTTTTCCTTACAGAACTGGACATTCTTTCTTGATTTTCTCTACTCTTCGGGAAACTGGGAGTCACTGCAAGTCAGTTCAGATAGAGGCTTGCTCACTTTAATGAGACCCTGGAGAACTTCGACAATCGCTTCTTCCTCCTACATTTGCAGGCTGTCCTGGCATGCTTGTTTGAGAACATAGTCTCCATTCTTGGGACTAAGTCATCAAAACATTTCCCATGCCACGAAAGCACAAGAATCTTAGCTCAGGTCAATAGAACCTATTTAAAATGTTGTGTGTGTTGGTGTGGGCCTGTAATCAAGAGCTGATTTGGAGGAGAGGCAGACGAATTATTGGAGCTGACTGGCCAATCAACTTAGCCAGATCAGTGAGATCCAGATTAAATGGAAGACTCTGTCTCAAAAAAAGATGAAGAAAAATAGAGGAAAATACCTGACATTGACCTCTGGCATCCACACAGATGCATGCTAGCACACAAGTATGCACACTCACAAATACATAGAAACACAAACACATAAATCACCACTATTTTTTTATAGTTTTCCTCTCTGTTCCTTTTAAATTACATCTGTTTTCTTAATGTACTGGTGTTGAATTGTTAAACTATCCCCAATATTATGAGATGTTTGAGAATTGTAACTTTTTTGATTGATTGATTTTTATGATTCTATGACTTAGACAAACTTTTCACCACTGAGTTACACACCTAGCCCTAGATTTTCAAAAACTTAAAAAAATATATGCTTAGGCTAATTCTCAGAAAATTTTTGGGTTTATCTATTTATAATAAAATCCATTTGATATTTGCTCTGAATTTTATGAGGGAATTATCAATTATAATTAAATATTATTTGGAAACTGTGGTTTTATGCACAATACCTGTACACAGTTGGGCACGTCAACATTTCAACAGGGATGGGGGAGCACTGAGGAGACCTCACCCCTCTCTGGAGGACTACTTACAGAAATTGATGTTGGGAGAAATGGGTATTATTTTCTTCAGTGATATAATCACTGGTAAGCTGTCCTTCCTCCAGTAAATAACATCACCTACACTCTAATTAAATTCAATGAAATTCACAGAAAGGCACCATGAAAGATGGAAGAAGAGTTTCAATGGGAGAGCAAGGAGGCTGAGAGAGGAGAATGGGATGAAAATGGTTGAAATTAAATTACATAAATCTATGAAACTCTCAAACAACATAAACATTTTAAAACAGTATTTTATACCAGTTCAAACTTTAATTTTTCATAAATATTTTCAATGTATGTATATGTGAAACACTTGCTACTGAAAATGTTATTTCAGCTTTGTAATTGGTATCGTTAGAAGAATATGATTGCAGCATCATTATAAACTGAATTTATGATATATAACATGGAATTTCTGATCTTAAATTTGGAAATCTTACTAAACTGCATATAACAATGCATTACTATTATTATGCTAATTTGTGAACTTTATTTCATCAATTCAATACTCTATATTTCTTCTAGTCATCATTTCTGCATATCTCTTACATATTGAGCCATTTTATTATTTATTAGCCAACATATCCTATTGTCACATTTCTTAATCACCTGTCTTTCCTGAAACAATTTATTTGCTTAAGTTTACAGAAGCCTAAGTAAAAATATAGATAACTTTCAGAGAGGAAAATAAGTTCTCCTCACTACAAATGCATCACCTCTTCGTATTATTGTGCTTAGATTTGTATTAGCATTCCTCAGAGTACAGTTGGTAGGATAGAGTTCTGAGAGCTTCCAAAGTTGTTTCTCTGTGTAGTATGTATTAAACACATTCATATCCATGTCTATGAGTATATCCTAAAAGAAGTGGAGATGAGGAGAGGGAGAGAGAGAGAAAGAGAGAGAGAGAGAGAGAGAGAGAGAGAGACTGAGCACATCAGATGAATGGTGCACAGTAGGAAGTTGCTATTTTTGGCTACTAAGTAGTGATGTCATTATCCTTCATACAGAAAATACAATAATTCCTTGTTCTATTTGAAATAGTATCAGCAACTTTGTTAGGTGTGATAAATATGACCACCAAATAATAGTGCATATAAGAAACTTGAAAGAAAAAAAAATTAAGACTAAAAACCGTGTGGAACTGGATACTAAAACGTTTTTCAAATTTGCATTTAGGAAGGAAAAGAGTTATTAAAAAAGCTAACTAGTTCCACTTATGTGAAGATAAGTCAAAGGTCCTACTCGACCATGGTTGGCTTCCCTTCAAAGCATGGGGGAAATGATTCCTCTGTGTTGACTCTCTTTTTACAGACTGGACACTGGTTCAAGCCCATCTGGTGCGGTCTCCTTGGCCTCCTTGATCAAGAGGACAGGTGACCCACCACCATTATAGGACATTTTGAGAGATGTTCATAGTCCCCTGGAACTATTCGACCTAGGAGTATTGACAACTGAATACCACTAGATGAGGAAAAGCTGACCCTCCTAAAACAAAGACCTCTAGATTCACCAGAAGGACAAGTAGTGGGGAATGGCTGGGTGTACTGACAGCACAGCAGACAGTAGCAGGGATATCAGAGTATAAGGGCTCTAGTGGGGAAAGGGAGGCTATGGGAGGGTGCTACCTGGGAAGAAAAAAATAAAAGCTAACTAGAGGCAAACCACTATCTTTCCTGGTAGAAAGACAATACTGTTTCGTTTGTTAATATATTTATATTTATATATGTTTGCAAAGTTATTTAAGAATAAATATGATCAGACACTATTAACAATAAGATATGTAATATTTCCAAATGGAAAGTGCAGTGCAGTTTTTACAGTGTTTTATTGTTTATTTCTTTGTAGCTTCATACGTGTGCATTATGAAGTTTAGTCATTTTCATCCGTATTTCCCTCCTTCAGTTCATTCTTCTTTTGAACCATTCATCTCAACTCTCCCATGTCCTTTTATGTCTTCTTTTTGTGAGTACTTTCACAACATTTTAATTAATATAAACATTATTTTTTACCTTGAGGTTTCTCAATTTTGGTATTATACTTCGAGATCTATGAATGAGGGCCATTCTTGATTGCGTGGATGAATATCAGTTTATATCACAATAAAGGCAAAATATCAGATGATAAATGAACAAAATGTCATGTATTTTGGAGACATAACTGTGTTGGTTTAATTAAACTGCAGCCTCATTAGACTCGTGGAATGAGAACCCATGAAGAAATGTTTTATTGCTTATCCAGGTGAACCAAGTCCCCCATCCATACATGGACAGCCAAGCAGTGGGAAGAGTTTTAAAATCAGCATCACAAAACAGGATGATGGTGGGGCTCCTATTTTGGAATACATTGTGAAATATAGAAGTGTAAGTATCCATTGACTAATATTTTTTTTTAAATTATACTGAAAGTCACAATGAGCTTACAGATAAAGTGAATCTATAATCAACCACATCAAGCAGGAATGTTAATTTTCCATTCCTGAAATAAACTATCTTAGCTGTGATTTTTTTTTTTATTTTGTTGAAATGTGACCTTGGAACATGAACACAGTCTAATAGCTTTAACTTTCATTGTAATTCTAAAACATGACTAACACATCAGAAATAATACCTTTTTAAAAAAGTTTAGGAGACTATTTATTTTATCGCCTATTCTACTTGTATTAGTGGTTCTGCTGTTCCATGTTGACTAACCTAGGTAGTATATTAATTACTTCAGTCATTGATATAACAAGGTACCTGACAAAAGGAGCTGAAGGGAAGAAGGAATGGTTTGTGTTGGCTCATGCGTTAAGAAGGAGTATAGTTGCATTATATTAGGAAAGTATGGTGCATGTTGACCGTTCTGTTGAAAGTCAGGAAGCACAGAGAAGAAGGCTGGCATTTAATTGGCTTCCTCCTTTTATTTAGTAAATGACTCTCTGTAGCCCATGAGCAATGCAACTCTCACTCAAAATGATTCTTCCTTTCTCTGTTAAACCTCGCTGAAAACACCCTCACAGTCATGCTCAGAGACATGTTCCTAGATGATACTTTTGTTTGGTTTATTTTCTTTAATATTTTTATTGATTTTTTGTGTATTTTATACACAACATCTTAATCCTCTTTATACCTTGTCCCCATTGATTGGCCCCCCTCTGATAATCTCCCTCTTCATTCCATGCATTTTGTGATTTATGTTAAGGCCTATGGAGTCAAGTTAGTGTCCCCTGACACCCTTCAGTGCAAATGCATCTACTGGGTCTAGTCAGCCTATCTAGAGTCACTCTCTGAAAGATGATCTGCTCTTTCATATGGAAAAAGGGTCTTACAGACTCCTGGGATTTTGCTCATATAAATTTATAGCAATGATTGAAAGCATGCACAAGACCCATGCAAACTCAAGCAGACAAATCCCAGCATAGAGCTGTGGAAATCGGCAGCAGACCCCAATCTTAGCAGAGGAACTATTGGGCAGCTGATTACTACTGAGTATTTGTTTTATTTTTAGAGACAGAGCCTCCATATAGACCCAGCTAGCCATGAACTCATTATGTAGACATGCTGGCCTTGATCTCACAGAGATCTACTTGCCTAGGCCTCCCAGGTGCTGGAATTAAAGGTATGTGTCACAAAATGGCTTTCTTAGATGATTCTTAAAGACTTCAAGCTGATAATAAAGGATAACTACTCAAGGTAGAATTATTGGCACATCACTTCTAAAGTCAAGCTTATTCTTAATATTAAAAAAAAAGAAATGTGAGGACTGGAGAGATGGCTCAGTGGTTAAGAGCACTGACTGCTCTTGCAGAATACCTGGATTCAATTCCCAGAACCCACATGGCAGCTATGAGCTGTCCTTAACTCCAGTTCCAGGGGAATCTGAAGCCCTCTTCTGACCTTAGTAGCATTGCACGATATGGGTGCACTCACATATATGCAGGCGACACACTCATACACATAAAATAAAAGTAATAAAATATTAAAAAAAGCATTTTCTGGGATAAAATGTATTTTTGTTTTTCTCAAATATACGTAGAACAGTCAGTAAGTGACTTTAGACAGTTAAAGAGCAGAATGGATTCATTTCATAGTTGTGGGGGAAGAAGAATTCTACTGCTTGTGAAATGATATTTTTACACATTATTTTATATGATGTCAATGTTCAAAGAAAATATTTTCCCCCAAATTTCCTACAAATAACATCATTAGTATCTTCTATAAAGGTAATGGGAAGTGTGCTTCTTAATAGCATTTGAATACATTTTAAATACTGCATATATATTTTTCTTAATTATAACTATTTCTCCATTAAAACGTCTATTTTCTGAGACATAATAAAAGAGGAATTTGATTTTGAATGCAATACATCAGCAATTAATTTTCTGTATCATTTTCATGCTGGTATTGAACAGCAAATTGGTGTCATTTGTATGATCTGCTACGCAGGCTAAAGGCAACTCTGAAAGGTCTCTTGGACTGTGTAGGTCGGATCTGAGAGTACTGTGAAAATTAGGCCTCTTTTCTTGGACATTCTCATTTGGAAATGCTAGTGGATGTTAACACCTTGTACAGAAAGAATTAGAATAAAACCCCAGAGTGAACAGTAAAGCACACTGATATAGGAATGTCATTATATTTTCTGTGAATGAGTTTTATTTGAAATTAAAGTTGTGCTTGATTATCTTACGTAATGACTTGATAATAGAAAAGCACAAATGTCATATTCAGTACAACCAGATTGTTGATTTCTACTCATGAGAGGAAACTTGCTATTTTATTTTATGTCTTTATAAATCTATTTTATTAGTGGATTTGATGTGGGAATTGGGAGTGCTTTGACTTTTTTTCACCATTGTTATTCTTTCTACTTATTTAAAAGATAGTTTAGAAGCTTAATAATATTGCAAAAGATATGCATATTTCTCAAAGTAAAAATTCAAGAAATAACATAATAAACCATTTTAAAGGACTGGGATAGGACCCGTGTTAGAATGAATGGTTAATATGCACAAGTCCCAGGGTCAGATTCATATCACATAAAAGAAAATTGGACTAGAAAGATAGCTCTACATATTCATTCAAAAAGGAAATGATGTCTTATTGGTAGAAAACCATCAATAAGGTACATATAAATTTCACACAAGCTCAACATTGTTTATTTGTTGAAATGTATATTTGGAATCCAGGTAAAAGAAAATACGATTAATGGGTATTAAAGTAATAAGTTTTGTTCCCTAAAATTAGATGTCTATTCACTGGATAATACAGGATTAAGATAGCTTTTCAGAAATACAATCAGGAAAGCAAATTGCTTTACTTACTATTCTTCTATTCTTAGAATCTGGATTTCATCCTTCGTGTATTGCATTGTGCTCTTGAGAAGGTTCTTCTCATGTGCTTTCAGGACGTGGAGAGATGGAAAAACAAAGGAAATAAAGCTGTTCAGCTGACTCTGCCCACATTTTGCTCATATAGCAAATGTTTTCCTTTTTTAATAATTATATATATATATTTATTTTTTAGAAGTAGCATTTCATTACAGCTTTAACATACTCAATAACAGTATCCAGAACAAAGATACATTTCTTTCAATAGAGGCTATAACAATTTTAGAATTTTTGAATTAATACAGTTATACAATATTGAACTCAGTATAGCCCTGTAAGACATAAAATTGAATGAGTTTTTAACCTTAAAAAAAGTTCTCCATTTCTTACAGAAAGACTCATTGTTTTTGCTAATAACACTGTGATGTTGGTGCATGCATCTCTAATCTGTATGTATCTCATTATTACTATTCATAATTGTTTTCACTCGGATCCTTGGCACTTGTATGTCTATGAAGTCATCAAGCCAACTGTATGACCTTAAACACCCAAAAGGAGAGTATAACCAAAGATTAAAGAGGCCAATGTAATCTTTTAAGAGTCCATATGTATAGCTAAAGGCTATGTAACAAGCAACAATGCCAGATAGGAGATACCTTCTTTTGAGTTGTTAGGCAGGGTGGCCCAAGGAACTCCCAGAGAGTAACCTAGCATAGAACTGGGAAAATGAACAGCAGACCCCAAACTTATCTAAAGAAATATTGACAACTGATTGTTGCTAGATGAGGAAAAGCTGACTTTCCTAAAACAAAGACCTATAGATAGGCTGACTAGATTCACTGGATGGACAAGTAGTGGGGGATGGCTGGGGGTGTTGACAACACAGTGGACAGTAGCAGGGATGACAGAGTATAAGAGCTCTAGTGGGGGAGGAGGCTATGAGAGGGTGAATAAGATGGTTTAGGATGTTCTGTGTGATACACACACAAAAAAATCAAATTAAAAAAAGTATTATATTTGAGGAGGAAGCATAAAACTTATGTCATGTTAATTAGCCTAGGTGATAAACATTACCATTGAAATCTACCTGATATTTTCCTTTTTGAGGATTATATTTGTTTTTATTTATTCTTAATTTTTATATTTATTGAAATTTTGTGTATGCATACAACAATCAGTTTTGTATATTTTATTGAATTTTTTTATTTCTTACAAAACATTTTAATCATCTTTATACCCCCTTCCCAATCTGAAACCTCTCATACTCTACCCCACTGGATTTTATACATTCTTTCTGTTGTGTTAAGGTCTATTAAGTCAAGATAGTGTTCCCAGATGTCCCTCAGTGCAAGTTCATCCCCTGGGGTCCAGTAAGCCTATCTAGAGTCACTCCTTTAAAGAAGATCAGTTCTCCCTCACCCAGCAGTAATCAGTTGCCAATAGTTCTTCAGCGAAGACTTGGGACCACTGACCATTTTCCCAGTTATATGCTAGGTTTTTGACTATTTGAGTTTGCATGGGTCTTATGCATACTGACACCATTACTGAAAATTTATATGAGCAAGGTCCCTGGGACTGGTTAGACTCTGTTTCCATATGGTAATGTACCACCTTCCCTGGTTCTTACAGTCTTTCTGCCCCTTCTTCTGAATTGGTCCCTGAGCCCTTGGTGGATAGAGTTTAGTATAGGAGTCTTGTGAATATGGTGAAATTTTTATAAAATTCCACCAAAAAAAAATTGAAATTATGCTTCAACAAATAGAAGTATATCTATTATTTGCTGGAGAGTTAGTTGAGTGGGTAAAAGCACCTACCTGTAATCCTGATGACCAGAGTTTGATCCAGAGGACCTACATGGCAGAAGGAGAGAAACAACTGCATCAAAATGTCCTCTGAACTCAGAAGGTGTGCATTGATACACTTATGCCCACAAACAGACATGTACATACACAATAATTAAATTAAAAATGTAAAAACAGCCGGGTGTCGTGGCACATGCCTTTAATCCCAGCACTTGTGAGGTAGAGTCAGACAAATCTCTGTGAGTTCAAGGCC